GAAGAACAGCGGGCCACTAGGCACTAGGGGCGCCACAGCGAAAGTAGTTCCGACCGGTGGTCCGGTAAAGTACAATCTTACCTAGATTTCTAGTTAGATCTATAATAGTGTAAGAGTCAGTTCTTTTGTTTTGGGTCAAACTCAGACTCTCAATCACAATCTCATCATTCATCGACAATTCATCTGCTGATGATCTGAGTGAGCATCGTACTCCTAGGCAAACCTATTTGATCGTAATTAGATTAGATAATTATACACATTCTATGATAAAAGCCTCTGAATGTATAACTCTACATTAAGAGAACCTTACAGGAATATTAGGCCGAACTTCACTGCGACACTCATGACAAAAGAATCTTGTGTTACAAGGAGGTGCCACTGTAGCTTCCGCCATTTTGTTTTTTCCTAAGTGATGAAGGAAAGGAATAGAATCGCTTGAGGAAGTAAAAAAAGCGGACTTCGATGAAACGAAACATTTGACAAGCGAGCTCGACTTTCCCCAGGAAGAAAACAAGAGAGGAAGAAAAACAATCTGCTAGATCTAGATCTATTTATTCTAGATCTATCTAGCTCTAGATATAGATTTCTAGATCTAGTAGGTTGTACTGTTGTTTTGGCGTAGGGGGTTTCCCTCAATTTTCAGATTTGGTTTTTAGGCCTAGATCTAGAATCTAGATCGAAGCCCAATCATAGGTAGGCCGTAAATGAAAAAAAAAGAAAATTAATGTTTCACTTTCACTTCTAAGTAATCTAAGATGCTTGATAATGATATAGAGATCTATTAATAGATCAAGATCTAGATAATCTAGGTCTAGATCATAATCATAATGTAGATCTATGTAATATATTTATATGGTGTATAAAATCTAGTTTTACCACGATTATCGACACAATAAATCTATAGGGGGCAGATTCTAGAGACCAGATAGAAATCTAGACTAGGATCTAGCCTAATAGGCCTACCGGTACAACTTCAAAGTAGGCTAAGTGTTAATCTAGATCTAGATCTATATAAAAAATAGTATAAAATAAAGCTTTTTCTCTCTGTGTGTGTGTGTGAGGGGGGGGGGGGGGCAAACGGAGTTGTGAGCTCGATTTCTGCTTTTGTCGGTATGTTGGGAGGTTGCATCCCCAGGAAAGGAGCTTACTTTTGGCATTTTGGTTTTCTTTATCAACTTAAGCCCAATATAGGCCTAATTATTCACCTGTTCACCCAGTTACAAATGACCTTAGTGGCATTCACCTAAAATATAAAAAGGTTGCATGTTGTTAACTGTGTGTGGACACATAATATATATGTCTGACAGCAGACCAAAGCCCAAGTTATGGCACATTTCAACTAGGCCTTAGCTTATTATAGGTCTAGTTATAGGTCTTTGCTACACAAATGAGAAACACGATTTTGCATCATGTGATGCATGTTAAATTGTAGTTTTTCTTTTTTTTAAGGGATCATACAGAAATTCGATTTGAAAAATCTTTTTTAAAAAGCGTCCCAAAATAGCTCATATTTTAGCGTTGTTGGCAGACCAGCTTAATATATTTTTATAATATGCACACGTGTGTGTATATATATATATATATATATATATATATATATTATATATATATATATATATATATATATATATATATACATATATCTATATGGGCTGGCCTTAGATAGGCCTAGGTATTGTGAAGCCATGTGAGCTTTTGTACTTAAACTTTTTAAGGGAGATCCAATAAGCCAAGTAATAATTTCATCGGCATGTGACACTGTCGTGAATCTTCATGTTTGCTTTATTTAGGCAAAATTATAAAATTAGAGAAAAAAAAATTGGAAATTGGAAATTTTGGTGTATAATATAATACATAGTATAAAATTTATATTTTATATATATATATATATAGGCCTATATACCAAATTAAGAAACTAATGAATGTTTAAGAGAATATAGTTGAGAATATACATAGTTCTAGAGGTTACTAACTCGCATCGCATTCACAATCACGTTAATTCCAGCACAGTGGGGTTTTTTTTAATTTAGAGGGGTGTTTTTTATCCTTCTATTGATACAAATTAAATTAAACCCTCATGCCTGTCAAACCCAACCCAGGTTGAGAGCGATACCCACAACTCTTAGGAAATTAAGACCGATCGAGATACTCGATAAAAATTCTCCCCACTCTGATTAACAATCGAACTCGGGTCTCCCTCCTGACAGCAAAGCTAGGTTATCTGCTACACCCCAAACGGCGGCCCTTCCAGTGATGAAAAATATACTTTTACTAAGTCACTATTTCCCCCTGTACTATCAAGTAAACAGAATGAGACAGATGAACAGTCAGTGCCATGTAAATCTGTCCCTGGCCACATCTTTCAGTTTTGTCACAAATAATCCCTTGGTCATTGCGTCCTCTGATTGTGCTCAAATTCAAATAGCTTCCTGGGTAGCTATAATTGACCTCTTTTTTTTTTTTTGGTCTCCAGTACCATATGTCTCATAGGGTAATCTTGTCTTGACATTCTCAAAATATGTCCCAATATGTCTTCATCTTCTTCATACATGTCATGTTTATGTTGTATATCATTTATATATATATATATATATATATATATATATATATATATATATATATATGTAAAATAATAATAATAGATAGCATTTGTATAGCGCATATCCCCGCTCAGCAGCAGGCTCAATGCGCTTGACACTATATTATTACCCCAGCAGACCATAGTACACTCCGAAACATTCTCAGCTTCCCGGGAAGCATACAGTGCGAGCAGCCGATTAAGCGCTCAAACACTAACAAACTGACAAGATCTTTCGCTGTCTATAGCCGGGTACCTATTCCCACCTGGGTGAAGTGAGGAAAATTCGTGTAAAGTGCCTTTCCCAAGGACACAACGTCAGGGCCCTTGACGGGATTCGAACCCACGACCTTACGGTTGCGAGTCCTTACTGGGCATGCATCTTCAATCCCAGCTCTTTCCAACACTTCTTCATTTTGTGAAAAGTTTATTCCATTTTACTTTAATAAAATTCTTTGTAGAATTTTGTTTATTTTTTAAGAAGAGCTTTTTAAAATTTTCGTTGGATTGCTAAATTGTTTATATATACATGTATATATATATAAGTCGAACCTGCCCTGACGGCCACCTCTATAAGACGGCCACCTGTACAAACGGTCACTTTCCATTTCCCCCCTTGCGTTTTTTATATATAATTTAACTGTGTAAAACGGGCACATGTCCAACGCGGCCGCGGCCACCATAATTTAACACACAACCCCTATCATACTAAGCAATAATACCTGTCTAAGATGGTCACCTTAGTGACTCCATTACGTTTTGTTATAAATTGTGCATTGGCCCCTGGTGTTGTGGGCAAGCCGTCATAATTCAATCACCTGTCGTTGTTGTTAGGTAGTCCCTCCAACCGATCATGTTGCGTAGGCCCCTCCCACTGTTGACCAATAGCTACCAATTTTCAGCTGCTGGTGAGGTAAGCGTGTGATCCCTCATAACCCATAAGCCCCGCCCAGAACTCATACACAAATCGTAAGTGAGATGAGTGGTCACTGTTTACCCAGTCTGTAACAAAGTAACAGAGGACGTCAACATGAACTTGTTACAAAAGCGTCGCTCGTTCTCCGACCCATGCGTTTGTTTTAACATGGCACTCAGTCTTCCTTGTCTTATACATTTCGTTTTATTGTCACCCTTGTGCAAAATCAGCGACAAAATAAAAATTACAAACGAAATACAAACTAACAACAATAACACCAACAAAGACAACATAATGGGGCTACTTTCGATTGGGGCCTCAGATGGGAATGGTTTGTTTTCTTTATCTTGATCAGTCCTGCCTAAGACGGCCACCTGTCTTATACGGCCACTTTTGTCCTTGACAATGGGTGGCCGTCTTACACAGGTTTGACTGTACATATATATATATATATATATACATGTATATATCTCTGAACTCATCAGTATGACAGGAACATTGCTATCATTTTAAACTTAGTTTGATGAAAATCAAGTATTGCACAGTGTTGTTACTGGTCCTCTGAAATCTCTTTCTTCTAAAGCAGTTTAATATTGAAACATTATATTAACATTTTTTTAGAATCTACTTTCTGCTTTCGCCTGGGAAACATTATTTATAGCTTTGTAACATATGTTTGGATGAGTAGGCCTAATATCAGGTTACTGACATTAAGTCTATACTAAATCTTTTTCACCCCTCCCCTGCTTTTATTTCTTCCTCTCAGATTTGTAATGGAAACAATATATGGTTGTGGATCAAACCATTTCTCTCAACTCACCATTGCTGCAAATTGCGATGACTCAGATGACAAGCTTCAGTGTCATGATTGCTACAAGATCCCAGTGCCTCTACACAAACTGAGTGAAACAGAAACCTTGCTGAAATCTGCTTTTACATGGTCCCGCTTCATTGCTACTTTTCAAACTGGTATACTTGAGCAATGTTTTTGACTTAATTGCCATTTCCATTATTTATATAATGTACCGGTACCTGGTAACCTAATTTACTGATCAACTGAAGTGTCTACCCTTCTCCCTCGGAGACCTAACATTTTATAGACAACACACTCTGTGGAACATTACAGCAACTGCAGCAAACCTGCACTTATCATGGCATGGACAGAAGGACGAGAGCCCAGCTGTTGCTGGGTCGATAGCAGCAACAACAACAACAACTGAAGTGTGATTTAATTTTACCATTGTTACTGCTTTTTATTTTACTGTTTTCTTTTCTGTTTGGCTCACCTTTCTATGAGAATCAACTGTAGGTTGTTTTTTGCCTAGAAGGAACCTTTTCAGTTTGTTTATCTCACATACAGTGACATAAACGGGATGAATACAAGAAAAATACATACATAATATGCAGGGATCTCCGCTCAAGAACCTGATCTGCCTAAAAGCTGGCATTCTTTCTGCTCTCTGGACTTTCAAACGCATCAAATCCTTGACCCTATCCGTACGCCATGGGGTCATTTTGTACCCCCGGGGTTGTATTCTTCACATTTTAGAATACTTCTAGTACACAGATCGCTTCGAAACTTTCAGTATTTCTAAAAAAATCATTTTGACAGACTGCTATGCAAAACGTACGGATCAGATTAACGAGTAATTTCCTCTTTGGAAAGTGGTGGCATAGAGTTCCCCGCGTCGTATGGATACGATAGTAAAACATGACGTACGGACAAGGTTAATAGGTGCTGCAAGATGAAGTGATGTAATGCAGTAACTGATAGTGCAAGGTCATTTTTTAATAGAAGAAAAGTGGGGAGGAACTAGGGATCAGGTTGGCGGATATGGGGTTGGCATAGACCAGTGAATGGCAAAATCTACACATTGCAAGCACACTTGTTACACAGAGCATTTTTTAAAATAAGCACTGCTGAACAAGTCAATTGCTAAGTGGTTTTTGATTGCTACAATCACTTGCTCCTCTCATGTTGTCAAAGTGTTCGATTATCTTTGAAAAGCAGGCCCATTTAAGTTATTCTTTCGTTTCACTTACACAACATTGTGACTAGTGCTATTTTTTTTTTTTTACGTAAATGCCCTATCTAGTCATAGTGACAATGCCCTGTTGTATAAATTCAATCTGCTCAGCTTCACTTGCTCCAAAATGATGCTCATCAGCCATGAAACAGAATTTCGTTGTTACATGTTAAAAACATATTTGCTTTCGGTTGAAAAGATTTTGTGATTTAGAAGACTGTATTCACCCCCTCCTGTGAATCATTATTGCATCAAACACTTTTGTTACAATGTTACGTTTTCTTGCAGAGCAAATTAGGTGAATAATTTTCTTTTAGTATGGGACCTCTGCTGTTATCTTATTAGTAATGATAGATGAATGTCTTTCCCTTAGAAAGTTTGTGAAAACAACAACAAGAAAATGTTTTTTCAAACGTTGTACTTTATTCAAAGTGTGTGTAAGTATGTGTTTTTGCCTTTTTACCCCACAGGAGACAGTGTTGTTACACATGTTTCGGGATTCACAGCTCCGAAAGATTCAAGCCTTCACTCAGATCCTGCACATGATAGTATTGTTGCGTCCCCACTTAAGTACCCAGATAAAATGATCACAGCTGTGACAGATGCAGATATTTATATGTGTTGCCAAAGGGATTCATTGCCATCACACATATTGAAAGACGGGGACAGTGAAATTATTCCTGTTCACATAGAAAAGGACAAAGATGAGGAAATACTGGTCACTGCTGCTGCTGGTGGTCATAAAGACCTCTATTTAGCATATGGTAAGGAACATGTATCTTGCTACTTTTCTAATTTAGGATTTTTTTGCAATCATGTGTATGTTATTTCATTATCATATGAAGCACATTTTTTATAAGTTCTAATATAATGCATTGACATTTGGAATTTCTAGGGTTCAAATCAAGATTTAAAAAAAACAACTTTTGATCCTAAAGAGCATGACTTGATACTGATGCTCAAAATAAACTTATTCGCCTCTAGTGAATGGAATTTGTAATGATGTGCATCATAGTTTTGTATTTTGAAAATTGATTACTTTATTATCCAGAAATTTTATGCATTGCCTCATAGAGATTACCAGTTTTAGTGTTTTATCTTTATATACACTACCTCTTCAGCTTTAGTTTTAGATGAAGTTCAATTACCTACAGGTTGGCTTTTTCACAGGAAGAGCTTTTAGTCTGTCAGATGACTTGTCAGAAAGAAAAAATGTAAATGTTTCAGTAAAAGCAGGAAAATTTGTAGCTCCTTAAAGGTCAAAACCTCTCATGTTTGCTTCCATATTTGCTGGCTTAGTAGGTAACCAACTGCGGCCCGCAAAGATTGCGACCAAATAGAAGAAGCGAGTTCTCATAAGCCCTTATACATATATATAACACGTTATGGCACATGGAATGTTTCATGACATCACTTATAACTGGCACTGGGCTTTCTCCTCAACCCTAGCATATAGCCCAGTACAGTGTCCTGATCTATTCTTTCGTCCGTTCAGCAGATCAAACAAGCTGACTTTGTCAAAGACGAGATATCACAATGCGTGCAGCTGCTGCTCAAATTGCAGTTACTGAAAGAGGTAGACAAGAAAGAAAGATTCCAAAATTGGAAATTTGCTACAAAATGGTATTCTCAGTCCTATGCTGTTGAAAATCTCTGAAGCAATCTCTCTAAACAGAAAACACGGTTAAAACAAAGAAAATCCTTCTGTTCCTCAGATTTCACTTAATGAATGTAGACTCCACTGTATAGAATTCACTTTGTGTTAGATTACTTTTTTTTTAAAGTGTTCACAAACTTTTTCAAAGATGTTCTTCTCTTTCAGATGAACTTAGTTTTGGAAAAGTTTCTGTTGCCAGAGAAACAAATACTGACCATGAGGAGAGTAACACCAAGAACTTGTCTTTGACCTTACAGCTGTTTCCTATTGATTCTGGACTGAGCATCTCTTTTGTGAGTTGTGGCAAGGAACATGCTCTCCTGCTGAGCAAGCATGGAACTGTGTACAGCTATGGACTTGGGAGGTCAGAACCATTAAACAGTAGTTAACTAGCTGGCTAAGACCAGTTATTTGTACAGATTATGCAGAAAGTTTTTATTTATATTTTCCATAAACCAATGTCTTTTTCAATAGCTTTAAATTGTACCTGTATATCACAAAGGAATATTGAAAGCTTATGTTGCTGTGAAAATTGTGGAAGAAATTACTTTTATTTAGGCTCCTTACATTTGTGTCAAGAAGTACAGGAAGTAGATTCAATTGAACATTTTGAATTTCAAGTATGTTGGTGAATGAGAAATTTGTATCTTTGTTTTGTTTATTTGACCTGCACAGTCGAGGTCAACTTGGGCATGGCACAGTTGAAAAGGAACCCACACCAAGGTTGATTGAAGCCCTAGAAGGTTTGAAGGTCAAAACTTTGTCAGCGGGAGGCTGGCACTCTGCTGCAGTAGCAGGTGAGAATTACCCCCCAAAAAATAGATATATGTGAAAAGTAGTACTTATTTTACCATTAAAAGACTTGCATGTTAAAGGAGCATCAACCAAAATTGTATAAATCATGTCTGAGTGTAGTCATAATTTTTATTACCGTGTTTTAGTTTTTTAATTTTAAAAAAAGGAACCTGTGAAAATTTCTAATGATTGGCTTAAAATTTGAAATGGATTTAAGCTGGGGCAGCTGGAGATCATGGTTTGTTTCTAACTGATTAGCCATCAGTCACATCAACATAGAATCAGATACAATACAATGTACAGGGTGATAAAAAAACAACTGAACAGCTTGTTTTGTAAATATCTTCCTCCATACTGAAGCTTTGCATTGCAGATTTGAACGCAACATTTGGAAGCCAAAAGGAAATTGTCTAATATTCATTTTAGATAAGTCTCTATATGGCGCATTAAAAAAACAACCCATTTTAAACCTTGTTGCCATTTTCATAGCATGGGACACCAGTTTGCATTAGACCAACCATTAAAAGTTGCAACAATCGCGTCATATTGCAAGCTACAGCAGTCTAACAAGTCAACAGAAGTTTGCAGATATTATTTTATCCAAATTTCGTATGCCTGCTGAGATCACGGTTACGTTTAGTAAAGAACAGAGAGCTTTTTGTACGGTATTGACCATTACCTCTCCATGAATTCACCATCCTTAACATTTGGTAAGTTCTGCGCGCGGCATGGAGAGAATGCTTAAGTGCCCTCAAGACCTTTGGCATCATGAGTAGAGAAGTTCCGACAGTTTGGATATATACCGAATCAGAACTTAAAATTTCCTTAACAATGACCTTTTCAGGTCGAACACGCACCATGTACAGCCCTTTAAACGTCACCAAGGTATAGATTTTAGTATTCGAGTCCCGTGAGACGTCTGTCCGTAAACGATCTGCAGCTAGGATTTTCCTACCCCTCAACAGTCTGCATTCTCATGGCAGATCTTAACCTACGACTGTACCATTTTTATCTTCTCTAGGCCAAGATGACGTGGATCAGAGCATGGCAATGTGTTCATGATTCCTCGATTGTGTTGAAAAGCAGGATCATTTCCTCAATAACATTTGGTTTAGTGCAAAGCCCATTTTCACCCTGCGGCATATGTTAACTCCAAAAATGTTGTCTATTGGGCACTCCACTCCCTATTGTCTCTAGAGGCCACTTCATACTGACATATGTACAGTGTATGTGGCTTTAAACACTCATGGTTTAAAAGGTTCTTGTGTTTGAGCGCCATTGAACATTTCAAACGACACGTTAAAAATGTGTCGACTTCAAAGGAGGGCATGTAGAGCACTGCTTCTGGGAATTTTAGAATGAAATCACTAGTTCTTTAAAACTCTGTAAAAGAAATTAAATATTGTGTAAATGTCACAGGGATGGAAAATTAAATGTCAAAGAGAAAAATAAAGAAAAAAGTCAACCAATTTTTTCAGGACTTCCTTTACAAGATTTTTTTTTAAATTGGTGAACTTTGCGTTTTTGAGTGCTTTTTGCTTTAAGCCATTTCTGTTTTCAAAATAGGTTTCTTTTTCATGGATTTCATGTCAAACAAATTCCTTTTGAATGAATTATATAACAAATATTTCATAAAGTTGTGACTCTAGCATGCGTCTTATTCATTTTTCACATTTAGATTTGAAATACTTTCAAGTGGGCTAATTTTTGGTAATGGAAAAATGCAAAGGCTTTGTAAGAAGGGCTATTTAGAAATTCCAATCTAATGGCTGAGATGAATGGAGAAAGCTTACCAGTTATATATACAGTTGAACCTCATTATCCTGCCACCCTTAGGATGAGCGCGAAGTTTGGGAAACAGGCTGGCATTTCTACGGGTTCTTCTGTTTTATAGCCCCGACTGCCCAACGTCAAGGAACAGGATTCTGCTGTGTGATCTGTGTTTGAAAAGTGTCTTTTTGTTGGTGATAAAATATATGTACACATGCACATGTATTCAGAGCAGAGAATCTTCTCTCTCTCTATCTCTATGTCTTTCTTGTGGGAGAAAGATTATCAGGTAGCCAACTAATGGGTGTTGTGCATCGTGTACAGAGTGTACCTCTGGCATTCAATTCGCTGGCGGTATTACGGAACAAATTAAAATGAGTTAAATAAGGACCATACACCTCAGACAGTTGGTGGATGGCAGTGTGAAGGAGTAAACACTATGTTTATATAGAGGCACTCCTTTTGGACATTGGCAAAATCTGGCGATACAAGGTTTGACTGTAAAGAAATTATGTAACGTGAGAGTGCATAGTAATGTAAGAACATTTATTTTTAGTGTGTTCTCTGAAAAAGGTTATTGCAAAGTAAATTTTTGAAGGCTTTTGGCTGGAGAAGAATATTTCATTGACAAGGTCTTTCAAATGTATGTAGGCCTATTGGTTGCTGATTTGTGAAGTCATTATTTCTTTTAATGATTGTTAAGTGGGTTTAATTTCAGACATCTTTTTGCATTTCAGAAGCAGGAGACTTATACACTTGGGGATGGAATGAAAGTGGTCAGTTAGGTCATCCTGCCCTAAGTCTGTCAAGTGAAAGAGGAAGCCGGAGAACCTCCATTTCTGAAGATGATGTTGTCGGTATACAAGCAGAGCCGAGATGTGCGTTTGATCTGACAACAGAGCAGAACATTTCACATGTCTCTTGTGGGTCAAGGCACACACTGTGTCTTACAGGTAATATTGGATGTACATTATCTTGCTCCTTTTTCATTTCATCAATAACGTTTGTCATTTTGTATAAACTGGAAAAAGAACCATTTGATGTTCCTTTATTTTCATACAAATGTATTTGAAACTCATAACTTTTTATTTAGTGTCCTTCTGCAGTGTATGAGGTTAAGGTAAGTTATATAATTATGTACCAGTCGATTTTTTTAGGGTATAAAGTGTAAAGTGAGCATCACTTAACAGAAGCTTTCCTAGAAATAGTAATATGAAGTATATGTTTACTTCTTTCTTATAACAAACTCAAAAGTCCTTGAGTGAGTCCCTGGATTACATTTTATGTAAAATAAGCAAAGCGACATCTGCTAGTTTAAATTTAAAAATGGGCAAATTAATGTGGACACTTATTTTATTATCATCATTAGCCTTTCTCTCCCCATACCAGAGCTTTTCATGTACTTTTGTTCTGGGGTTTAGTCTCCACCTCTTTCTAGCTGTATTCATCCCTTTTATTTTTAGATCAGAATCTATGTCCCTCCTCCAAGTTCAAGTAAGCTTCATATACTCATTTAAGGGCGTCAGCATCTCCCAAGATGTCTACATTATTGATTACTGCTGTTAGCTTTTCTGCAACAAGGATGTTGTTTTTACAAGATGCTACCTCTATGCTCAACTCCCAACATAAAGGACCAGTCTACTCATGTCAGGAGCCACAGCTAGTTGCCTCTTAACTTTTGACATGCAGACCGAACATCAGCCTAATTCTTCTCACCGCCGAGATCTTCACGGCTATGAATCATGAACACTTCTTCATGTTGGAAAATACTCTTTCATTTTCCTACCCCAATCCTAAGCTACAGCCTGTGCAGACATTAGTTATTGTTTGTACAGTGGGTGTCGCATTGAACGAGATTGCCGGGACCGGCTTGTTATCCTCGTTGGATCCGACCTCTCGTTGAACGTGACTAAGACTAAAGAAAAGAAAGGAGACAAGTTATTTATTACACAATGTTCCAATACCAGTAATTAAACAGTTGTTCCCCCTGATGACAAAAATCTCAAACAGCATCAGTGTGCGCAAGTTTGAGCTGTGTTCTGACCGTCATTTCTGCTTTTAAAAATTATATTTATTTCCAGAACACTTTTCGTGTGGAAACATACCCTCTCACATCTAGGCCTAGATCTACATAAAGTAAAGGCGGTAGCTTGGATTTTCTGATCAGGGGAAAAGAAGAAAACTGAAAAAAATTAAGGTCTCGATCTAGACCTGCCCATTCAGAGTTAATCCAGTTTCACACAACCCGCATAGCGTTCCCACCCACCCCCTCCCATCCCTACCATAGGCTAACCCTCGCCCATCCTCTTGGCTTGGGGGCCCATATTAGGAGGCTCACTAGATCTAGCAATACAATGTGTAAGGAATCGAGGACGGGCCTTGTGCTTCGCGTGAGATGGAGAGAAAGGAGAAAAATTCTTAGCTTTTGGGGCCGCTAATTGCTTTCATTTGGTTATCGTGACCTCATTGAAAGTGACTTCGGTTTGTTTGCAACCTCGTTGGAGCTGACGCACAGTTACAAAGAGATATAGAGGAAAAAAATCGGGTATTAAGAATTGCCTCGTTGGAGCCAACTTCTCGTTGAATGTGACCTCGTTGAATGCGACACCCACTGTAATACACTCTTCTGTTGTCAGTTTCTCTCAGCCAGGTCTCTTTGTATGTTCACTTTGCACAAGCTGTGGATTAGAAACTGCTGTAGTGGGGGATTGGCAGGTGCTCTGATGTGTTAGCTCATTGTGTAAGCGCCTTCTCTGAGGTTAGAAAGTTGGACTGATGTGTAAGTTTCCCTGAATTGTCTCACAGAAAGTGGAAAAGTCTTTGCCAGTGGCTGGAATGCCTATGGTCAGCTTGGCCTTGGTCATCTCAATCCTGTGGACAAATTTACCCTAGTGGACAAGATCAAAGGAACCTGCACCAGAATATTAGCAGCACAGTGGAATTCTCTCTTTGTTTGTAAGGTTTAGTTAAATAAAACATTTTTGTGAAAATGCTTTGTGTTTGTTTTCGGTATTTTTTGCGAATGACTACTGTGTAACCAAGAGGAAAACATCTCTTTCATTTTTGCAAATTGTGTGCAATGAAGAGTGTAGTAGGCCTACATTGTTCTCCATTTCTTGTAGAACAAATAATAATAATAATAATAATAATAGATAGCATTTGTATAGCGCATATCCCCGCTCAACAGCAGGCTCTATGCGCTTTACACTATATTATTACCCCAGCAGACCATAGAACACTCCGAAACATTCTCAGCTTCCCGGGAAACATACAGTGCAAGCAGCCGATTAAGCGCTCAAACACTAACAAACTGACAAGATCTTTCGCTGTCTATAGCCGGGTACTCATTCCCACCTGGGTGAAGTGAGGAAAATTCGTGTAAAGTGCCTTTCCCAAGGACACAACGTCGGGTCCCCGACTTGATTCGAACCCACGACCTTACGGTTGCGAGTCCGAGAGCCTAACCACTAGGCAACCGACGAACAGTGGAAGGGTGGCAAGAAGTGGGAAAGGCATACAAAAATACAAGTCAACTTCTTGTTTTTGTTAAGTTTTGTACCCCTTGAAAGATAGTGTCATTAAGAAACACTACTTCTAGTAGGATGCAGGGAAAATTGCTTGCTCCTGGGATTGCATTTTCTGCCTTTCACTAAAAGAAAAAGAAAAGAAAATCCATGAAATGTGGATTCCTGGAGATATATAGTTGTTTCTAACACTAACTGATTGGTGTAATAAGAAAAAAACAACTATATTGATTTGAATTATAAAGGTTGCTCTGGGAAGAAAGAATATTACTGTGGTAAAGTTAGTCTCTGTACAGTCAGGCACAAATAATTCTCACACCTTAGGGATTGACAAATGTTTTTGATACTTCCATGGTTCGAGTAAACTGATAGCAACAAATTTAAGCGATATGAGTAAGGGAATGGCAAATTGTACGAGTACCAGCTATCCGTGATTTTGAGTTTTCAGTGTTTATATTATCCGAGCCCAACTGTATTTGTGAGGCAGCGTGGTGGAATCAGGCTCTCGTCAAAATAAGCAAAGTGAAGAAAAGCGCATTTTTTCCGCAGGTTTGTGAAGTTTTTATTAAATTTATGTTTTTTGGCCCAACACCTTTAATGCCCATTAAAGAACTCATTTCTGTGTGGATTATTTTGAAAAACGTAAATTGAAGGCTCAGAAAATATAAATTTTCAGTGACCATGGACTCTTAAACTAAGAAAATAACTAATTTTTGGCGGCCATTTTCTCAATAATTACACCTCTGAAAACAGGTGACCCCCAACTCCTTCTTTCACAAATATCTCGACTTGTATTCAAGATAAATGGACATTTTTTTCATTCAAATAAAGCCAAGTGAACCAGCTTTAAGATGATACCAATAACTCTACATGCCCAAAAAATGACGAGAGCCTGATTCCACCACGCTGCTTCACATTTGTTTACGGCCCGATGATCTGCAGAGCTAGGTCAACCGGTTATCTGTGGTGTCATGATTAGGTTTATTGCACTTTAAAAACTTGAGCTTAATTTGGGCTTGGGGAAGTTATTTCATTGATTATCTTGGCCTATCTGCTGGGATGCTGTGTCCCACTCAGTCCGGGTTGACACCGACAGGGGGTCAAAGCAGACCACTTTCTCATGCTTCCAAATTGTGCAAATTGTGTAAAACTTTTACCCTACGCACATTACACAGCACTCATGCTTGCACACAGGACCTCCGAGATTTTTCGGCCTTATCTGAGAAGGCTTAGTGTTCGAACAGACCTACTCTGAGATCAGGGGTGTGGCTGAAAGACAACGAGCCAAGGAGTAGCAGTAGAAAGGCTGCAGAACGAGTCAGAAGCCCGGGGGGGGGGGCAAACAAAGGGGGGGGTGCATAAAGTGAAGACTAGAGCAGACGACAGAACATGGTTGGAGAAGAGCAGGAAAGGAGGAGAAAGGATAACATTTTTTATAAAGAAAATGGTTTCATTGCTCCCAGGTTTCGAACCTGACCTATTGAATGAGAGGCAAACACTGTAAACTGTAGACCAGGAGAGCCCCCTCAGCACACACGAAGGATTTTTAATTGATGTAAACCTATGCTGTGCTACTTTGTATAGTAATGTTAAAGTGACAGACACGTAGAATGAAATCAATGTTCTGATATCAATGAACTATAGGAATTAGTCAATAAGATACAAATCACAAAGCAAATAGAAAACAAAGACAACTTTATTAGCCTCCCCAGTGGTATTTGTTTTACAACTGGATGCAAGTAAAATGCACACAAAATTGTACAAAGCGACACATTTTCGTTATGAATGTATTATATATATATATACACACATAAATATCTTAAATGACTCAAACACTACAAACACAACCCAGACATACTATTGCTAGGTCACATGGCACTCTGTTATTCTGAGTTTGGGCCATCATGCTGTGCTCAAGAAGTCTCCACAGTTATCATCATGCATGTTTAAAACTGTCACCACTGACTTCATTCTATATATATATATATATCAGCACTTTACCATTGAGCGTCTAGATATATATAAGGAGTTTCCTTACATCTAACTTACACTTTTTAACTTGCAGGAACACCCCCCCCCCCCCCCCTTTTTTTTTTGCTTACTTTTATTACTTAATTAAGCATTTCAAAAAGACTTGAGACCAAGGGCATTGCTGCTGCAAATGATTTTAAAAAACAGCTCCTAGAGGATTGCCACTTCGTTACAGAAACAGTGTGATTACAATACTACAATCAAACAAATGTAAACTAACTCTCTGAATCTGATAATGTCAAAACTGATGTTATGTTAATAGTCACTCAGATAAGAAGGAAATGAGAAAATGTTGTCATTGTGGTGTTTACTTACTGCAAGTAGGCCTATTCCTTTTTTTTTTGTTGGAAGAAAAAGATCTTGATGTTATTTTATACTTATACAGTTACCTTTCTGTACAACAAGTATATATATGTAATCTCAATATTTAAGGAATAACGCTTAGTTAAGATCACTCCTTTCAGCTGAAACAGAAAAGAAATTTGTAAAATCATTTGTAAGAATCTTTATCACTCAATTCATTGTCCTGTGCCATCTCTTGAATTATAATACAAACTTGAAGAACAGCAAAATCACAAAGTCAACAGCACAGCTTGCAAAGAAAGTGCATAAAGCACTCAAAAAAGCTGTAAAACTAAAACCTGTTTTAAAGGTACAGAACTTTACCAGCTACCAGTAAACAAGTCACGCTAGAAATTTAGAAAAAGAATGGCCTTTGGCCTTTTGATGTACAGTGGAAACCATATATAACAGGCCCAGTAATAACAGGGATCCGGTAATAATCCCCGTTTTTTCCTACTATTTGTCTCTATTAAAAGTTATAGGCAATAACAGGGCCTCATCGGAGCCCAACCGCTTATTTGAGGGACAAAGGCTCGTTAACAATGTGTAAAAAGTGAGTGTGTGAGAGAGAGAGAGAGAGTAACGCAGTGATGGAGCAAGCCCACGCAAGCGATGCCACAGCAAGCACACGCAGCCTGTGAAGCGAGAGAGGGCTGCGGTATGCTGCAGACCTCGATCTAGCCCGAAACCTAAGAACACGTTTGTGTAATGTGTCACCAATGATGTCAATCGCAAGAGAAAATGCCTTTCAATTGACAAAAAAATACGAAATAATCCAGGCTGTTGACAAAAAGCAAGCTCCACTGGCAGAGATTTGTTGTCAGTTCGACATTCCACAAGGGTCGATTCACACCATTATTAAGGATAGAGAGAAGATAGTGGCTGCATACTGTAATGGAAAGTTTGCTCTGGATCGAAAGAAGATGAGACTACCCGATGCAGATGCTGTGGACCAAGCTCTTCTGATGTGGTTTAAGGAGGCAAGGAAAAAGTTTGTGCCTAAACTCCTGTTCGTGGGTACTTGTGGCAAAGGAAACTACCCATGAATAAGTACAGCTGGATTAGTCCACAAATGCTTACTTTCCTTGTATTTCTGATTTAACAAGGATCGGATATAACAGGACATTTTCTCTACTCCCACCATCCCTGTTATATCAGGTTTCCACTGTATTTATAAGCTCATAACTGATGCATTTTTTAAAGCTTACCATTCTGGTGATCACAAATAAGTCAGGTATCTCAGAGGTCAAAAAAGAAACTCAAATTCTACAGAGCAAAATTTTACTTTTGCTAGATCTGACTACTGGTCCAGGTATAACATGCCAGCACATTATTGATCAGCTGAAGCTGGGGAAAAGTCTGGGAACTGCTTTTAGAGAGTATGGGTACATTTGATATATAGAGAGGAATCTTCGGTCAGAAAGTCAACAAAATAGTGGGCAAGAAAGACAGAGAGATTCTAAGTTATGTTGATTTAGAATAGTTTCTTACGTGGTGATTCTTTGTTTAAAATTGACAACATTCACATTGTAATTGCACAACCCCACTTTATATTATATCGTAAAGTACGTAGAGCCTAGTAAATGCTACTTTTATTAGCATATGTATTATTAGTATTTGATTAGCTTAAAGTTCGATATAATTCTACCACAGATGAAAGCCCAAATGTAACAAAATTAGTAAATTTGCTTTGTTTGTACAATTTATTGATAAAAAGTGTGGGAACCTATAGAAAAGTTCACTTTGTATTCCAATAATGCAGTTTTCTTATTGACAAGACCTGTAGCCTCCTGAACTGAAGCTTGGGCTACATCGATTCAATGCCAAAATTTTGATGGATTTTAAGACTCCTTGGCTTCAACATGCGATAAGAAATTCATTTAGAGATTTTGTTTCTTTCAGTAACATGAATTGAACTGTGTTGATAAAGGTGTGAAACACTCAAAATTGAATTTACACGGCGAATTTAAGAACTTTGTTAAATTTTGATTAAGTCTCTCAAGAACAATTGGTACATTATATTCTAAAATCTAACTGCTGCGCAAATCAGTTATTTTCACCACATTCAACTTACCCCAGGCACACATCCTCTTCCTCAGGCACACATACTCTATAAATCCCATTCCACATAAACCTTGTTCTCTAAATGAATTTATTTCTTCAACAGGCCCTTTGCATACCCTCCTTGCTCTTTCCTGTCTTGCTCTCGCTCTCTCACTCTCTCTCTTTTACTTCCCGTTTTCCTTGCTAGCTTCACCAGCACATGAAAATATAATAGTATTAATAGATGTCAGAATGTATGGCCAACCTACATTGAAATGCCAGCCTTAGATTTTTTAACAGTGTTTCTTTTCTCCTTGGTACAAACACATCATTATGAACTTGAAAGGAGAAATTCTTTTTACTTAAATTATACCACCATCTAGTGTCTTACACACTTCTGGCACTTGGTAATTCCCTCTCCCAATTTTACCACAGCAAAGACAGCCTTGGCACACTGCCTTAGTATTATAAAACAATCTAAAAGGAGCACATAAAGGATTTGCACTCCATTGCCATTCGTCTTCAAAACTATTTTGAGAAAAATTTTAACACACAGAATTCACTTTCCAATTAGATTTTAAAAATTAGAAGTTAAATGACACATGATAAAGCGCTAAGGAAATACTTGTGCCAAAATGGCGGGTGGCAAATTTTAACCTTACGCATGTTAGTATTACTGGACAACCACCTCTTGGAGTCATGCAGTCGACTACGGATGAATTAATGTTATCATGGGTGTGAAAAAAAGATCAACTAATCCGTAATTCAAACTAAACCATCAAGGTCACAAAATCAAGATATATAACAAAATTTTTCGTTATCTCATTTGATTTTAGTTTTAGTCCTCTCTATTGAGTCTCTTCATTAAAAGAATGACAAATTTTCTTCCAGCCATCTTTCTTACAAGTTAGGGAAAAACTCAAATAAAAATTGACTTTTAATGCAGTTTGAATTAAATTAACCTTACGATAGGATGGACTGAGTGATGTGAATTTAAGAAGTGCTAAAACCAAATATAATTTGTTTCAGTAAATCTAATGCTGAATGATTCCACCCATGCAGAAGGCCTATCCACCAAAATAATTCAAATAGCAGTGCATGCAAGAAAAATTATCCAACTAGATTCAAATGGCAATGCAACAGGGACCAATTAGTAGGCCTTCTCATTGTCTTGTGGTGCACCATGCCCTTCAACCTTGAGGGGAGGGAGGGGATGGGGTTGTTGCGTCCTTGTTATGCCACATACACATCCGCTTCTCGTGCTCCCCTCACCATTCTATCAAGGCACTGTGTTGTACAGTAGTCTCCGCCTAAACGCACGCCATACAAAAGCACGCTCCGCTCAAACGCACGCTTTCGTCATCTGACGGGTTTCTTACTATATAATTTAGACGTACAAACACACGGTCACTCCATCTAGACGCATGCTCCCATCCGCGAAACACGCTGAAAGGAAAAGCTTGACAAGGGGAAATTTTCACTAACCTGCACGGCCTGCATATAAGACAAGCCTAGAAAACCGGATTTGGTGAGCGTGCCGAAAAAAGAGACTGATGGACAGCGTTTTCACACCTAACTTTCCACAGACACATAGGTCTAGGACTGGTTGGTGAAAATTTGGGGGGGGGGGAGATGGGTGGATTGGGGACTGAAATGTTTTTAGATTGGTCACTGGAATGTATCTTTGAGAGAAGGTTTTTGACTAGTGTTTATGTGACTGCATGTAATGTTTAGTTAGACTTTAGACCTAGGCCTGATGCGCAACTCGCGTAAATGCCGTAAAACACTAGACAGGCTCTAGTCTATAGGATTAAAGATTAGCAATTAGTAAGCCTAATCAGCTGCGCTCAAAGAACTTAGGACATACTTTTCAACGAATCACAAAAGAAATGTTTTTCTGAAAGTACAGATCTATGATTCTGATGTCGTCCAGTTTCCTCTTAGGCTATCTGTTCCCGACATTTATGGTGCATATCATTACATTTAGTCTGTCTTTCTCTCCCCCTCCCCAAATTCAACGCCTTTGTATTCTTAACCCCAGTCAGGGAATCCTTCACAAAACAGTCACGTGTCGTCACATTATCGGCCAAAATGCCCTCCACCTCAAAGGGAGGTCACTAGAGTAATAAGGAATTGAGATGACTGCGTCCCTTCCTCCCTTTGCAAAGGTTCATGTAAACGCACGCTCTGTATAAACACACACTAAGCTAAGGAGCCCTCCCGAGCACCGAGCGTTTAGGCGGAGACTACTGTAGTGTGCAGTCGAACTGCAAATTCATCATCTCTGCATGTATTCTTAATTGAAGTATCACCTGTGTCAAAAATTCGCTGCGAAATATTGAACTAATATGACAATATACATGCAGGAACAACTTTTTACATTCAAAAAATTAATTCAGTCATTACATACTTGCAGCTGGGTAAAAATGCACTTCAATTTAAGCATATATAATACGTCTGAGTTAAACTCAACAGTTTGATTTTAACAAATGTAAATTGTAAAGGAGAAAAGTTGCTGAGACCCAAGAAAAAGATCAACTTAACTTCAGATTAACTCAAGTGACTTCAACACAAACAGAGTCGACTGTATAATAATAATCATCTAAACACAGTTCAAGTTTAAAAATTCTCATATGACAAAAATAAAAGAGAGACATGCATCTCTATTTATCTAAATAGATGACCTAATCTTTTACCATTTCAGTTTTGATTTGTATCTCTAAACATAAATCAGTGTGTGCAGATTTTTTAAGTTTAAATAGTGATCAAAACATTGCCCTGAGTAATAGTAATTGCACAAAGCAAACTTTTACAGCCATAATACTATAAACTCCATTCTATTCCATAAAATTAAGAAAACCTTTTGTAACACCATCCTCATGCTATTGCCATTGTGTTAGGGTACCAGAGCTGAGGAAATGGGGCTGGACGGTATACAGAAACTTGTCTCCATTTCTTTGAAGAAAATCCAGAAAATTAAGACCTAATAACAGTAGCTTGGTTCATTTGCTTGCACTTCATTGTTCACAAAAGAATTTGACAGAGAAAGTGGTTCCTTACATTTCAGAAAAACGGCCGATAAAAGTTCACCACTTGATTTCTGTATCAAAACATTGTTCACATGTTCTCCAACACAGGGAGCTTTACTGGTAGGTCCCACAGTCGTCAAAGACTTTCCGTGACGTTTCATCTGTTTTGACTCAGTAGTAAGTTGAGCTCCATTTCTTTTTTTCGCCCTTTTTCTTTTACCAAGAGGAACACCCGAGTATTTTCCAAAGGCGTGCAAGGCGCTAAGAAGTGCTGTTTGCGTTGATAGGTTGTGGAAGGTGGTGCAAAATTCGTTCACAGCAGGTATCATTGATTGGGGGTTTGCATCAAGTTCTTGAGACAGTTTTTGAAGGACCTCTTGCAATTTTCCTTTTGCTTCTGTTACCATACAGCTGTCTGTGGATGTGCTTTGTGAGGCGGCTTCCCTTACATGGGACACAGCCTCATCACCAGCATCGACAGCTTTGATCTCTTCTGTATCTGACGTTGGCACATTGCAAGGAGGAGAGGAAGGATGTTGCAGATCTTCAGTTGTAGTTTTAGGCTTATACACTTGGGTATACAATCTGTGGGTAGTAAGTGAAGTTTGGTGAACAAAAAGGGACAGATCCACAGATACAAAGTATCAATGAGCTATTCACAGCATAGCTCGAGACATTGACAGACAGACAGACAGACAGACAGACAGACAGACAGACAGACAGACAGACAAACAGACAGACAGACAGACAGAGACAAATAGATAAACAAACAGACAGATGATCCAAGGTCAAAAAGTGCTAGAGTTGAAAAAAAACCTAAATTCACTTTCACTAATATGGGCAAAATTTCCCTCAGTTGTTGATGACATCCAACTTTTGGAAAAATGTTGGTAAAAGATAGATGCTTGTGATGATCGAATAATTTGATCATTTCATATCCACTAAAATTGTCCATTGTGATGTGTGCTGACAAAAACATAAATACTGAGATGAGTATATGTATTCAATGGGCCTGATACAGTGCCTTGGTTTAAAAACATTAAAGTTTGAAGGTTGACCTTGGCCACTGCACCATAAAACGACAAAACATTTTCACTCGTATTCATGCCGTTACGTAAGTGTCACAACTGACATTTTCAAAGTGGAAAGTTTTACTCTTGTAATTTTTCGAAACAATATATACATAGACATATACACATACAGTGGAGTCCACTTATAACGACTCTTGAAATAACGAGAAGTCTATTATAAAGACACTATTCTAAAACCCTGTTTTTTTCCTTCTTTATCTGTGTAAATAAAATACTGCTATAGTGCAATCAGACAAACACGCAAGTCAGTTAAAGCGGAATGTTGCTGCTACTGTGCACAACGCATAGGCCAGTTATACATATAAAACCTCGCCCGTTGAGAAACTTGTTGGTGAAGTAGCGAAACCAAGGACCTTACAACTCCTTGAGCGAAACAAAGAATGGGAGAGCCCACGTGTGCCAACAATGAAGGCCGGAGCGAATGAGTGGGGAGGGCGTGGCATGCGCAGACAAGCATAACGCATCGAGTGATAGGCCAGCCTAGCCTAGTCTAGATTATCTAGGCCTACCACTACCATGCCTCTCACTTCTCCGATGCGGGGAAAGAGAGGTCACAGTGCTGTGATGGATGGAGCGAATGTGTGACGTGAGCAAGCAGACAGGACACACCACAGGGTGTGGTGGGGTGGGGAACAACACAGCAGGCGAGTTAGCACAGAGCTGTTCCTTTCTGATTGCCAATGCCTAGCTGTCAACATTGCTAGCACAAAAGAAAGAAACTTGATTAAATTATTTTAGCAAGACCAAGAAGTCATGTTGAACAAAATCGTCTTCAGGGGAGAGAACAAAAAGAAATTAACAGAACACCAAACTCATAGATTAGCCCTACAGTATTATTTCCCTTGAGTTTATTACTGGATCCCTTATAACGAGAATACTGCTATAAAACTATAACGGACATTTCGCATCAGTCCCCTCCCTCTCGTTATAACAGGATTCCACTATATTTTTATGACCTCTAAAAGCAGTGTTTAAAGCTTGCACCTATGATATGAATCCAAGAATATAAGCTTTTCCCTTCCAAACGTGTGAATCTGCATCCTTTGTGACAAAATTCCCTGTGCCAACATAAATTTTTCACCACATGTCAAGAGAGACATTGATTTCCTGGAATGTCTCATCCATTCCATGAGGAACTTTTCTTCTTTTCACTGACTGCCACTGACACTGGTAAGGATGCTATTTTGTTTGCTTTTTCAAACAGAGAAGAAAGGCATATTGTATAACAATTTTGGATGAATGATATGAACAGTAATTCCTTAGAATTAGGAGTACAACAGTTGAAGTCACAGAACCTTACATTCACCTTTTATGACCTTATGACAGGCAGAAGCAAAACAAAGTGTCTTTTTGATGATACGATCATACTACGGAACACACCACGATCAAGCAGTGTCGGTATTGTGGAGTTAGGCACTTCGCTGTCGCATGCTGATGAAGGAGACCCAAGTTCAGCCCCAGATTGGGGAGAAATTTTCATGGAGTATCTCCATCTTTCAACTGGGATGACCTCCCAGCCCGGGTTGGCCATAACAGGCAGGAGTTGGAAGTCTGCCTCTTCAAAGATCCAAATTGTGTTGTGGGGGGGTGTAAAAACACCAGCATTAAGAAAAAAATCACCACGATCCCTACTTTTTTCATACGCCTGATATCAGTTAAAGAATAACAAGTGGGAGCATACAAATATATACTGTGGCACCAAACTTTTACTGTACAGGGCTATCTCTAGGTTAGCCCTTCAGGCACCCATGCCAAACATCGACCTATTGATCAGGAAGACATTTATTAAGTTTCATTACCAGTTCAGTTTATCTCACCTGTACGCATAATGATAGCTGGGAAAATATGCTCCATCTTCAAAGGCTGCCTGATACTTTTCTTCCCCGAGCTCCACCCTTTTTAAAGTTTTGTACATATTCACAGCTGTCCCGGGTGTATGGCCACTGCGGAAAAGTTCCATGAGGCGTTCTTTAACCTCTGGCTGTACATCACGATATGTCGGACGTGAAGCAGCCTCTACAGGATGGTTGTGGTTCCAGTGCACGATAATTTTTGTTGGAAGCTTGGGCATGTACTCATCTTTGCTTTTACTGAAAATTTGAAAATGTGGAAAGGCAAATTCAAAAAACAAATATCTAATTCAATCAATGGCATACATAATGTATTGAAAATCAAAAGTTGAATCTAAAGCCTCGTGACTTCTCATTGGTAATAAGGAACAAATGTTTATTCATATATTTTTCATTTTGTATTGTTGTTTCTCCATCAGATTGTTATCAAAACAGATGCAGAATAATCAATTATTTTCTTATCTAGTACAGATTTGTCTTTACCACAGAACTATATTTCAACAAAATACTCAAAACAACTAGAGTGCAAAAATTAAAATGTTTACATCAGGTTGCTCCCATTTTCTTCCCCACCTATTATTTTGTTTGCTGGGATGCCTCTGAGATTTGGTGAAAATACCTGAAAATTTAAGCAGTTGCATTTACAAACAACAAAAAAGACATTTAATAGACACAACTTATACTTATATGGGGTTAAACAGAGGACAAATTAATAACTGCTCTTCTGGTGAAAATAACAAAAATAAAATAAAACAGAAAAAACGGCATCACTGTGTTTTCATTCTCCTTCCCCACTAAATATTCCATCATCTTAGTACCCCCCCCCCCCTCGTCCACACACACATACTTTCTAGCTCCCCTCCTACAGCTGAAATTCTCTTTTCTTAAATATGTCTTTGTATTAGTTTGACACTTCCAGTACACAAAAAAGAAGACTGGCTTCTGTAGTAATAATAATAATAAAAAAAAATAATATGAATTTATAACGCGCCAGAATCCACAAAGAGTGCTCGGTGGCGCTTATCACACACACACACACACACATCAACAAAAGCTGTAAAGCTCAGTACCACTACGTCATGAATAAATTTTTTTTTAAAACTAAACAAAAAACAACAACAAGAAAACGACAGATGGCCTATTTCAGATACAGAGTTCCAGCATTATAAATATACTTTCCTGAAAAACTTAATAACTGCTCTTCTGGTGAAAATAATAGAAAAAAACGGAATCCCTGTGTTCCCTGTGTAGAGGTTAGGCGCATCGTTGCCACATGCAAGAAACCCAGTTTCCATTTCAGAGTGAGGAGAACTTTTTTCGAGTATCTCGGTCTTTCTACTGGAATGTTGTACCCTCTTAGTCCAGGTTGGCCCTGACAGATGGCCTTAAATGATCAAAACGATGTCAACGCGGGAGTAAAAACATCTACATTTAAAAAAAAGAATTATTAAATAAAAACAAGGCATTTCGAAATGGGAGGACGAGGAAACAGTAGGCAAGTTCTCGGCAGTTAAGGCAATCTTTATCAATTCAGATTTATTTCTAAAAAACAACAACCAAGTAAAACCTGCCTTTTTACTAGGTTGAGGAGTATTTTGCTATTAGTAGGCCTACACTAATTTAAAAAATAATACATTCTTGCAACACTACACCCTTTTTCCTATGATTCATTTTACTTCCAGTCTCACATCAGCGAATATTCATGAAAAAAAATGTTAAACACTATCAAAAGGTTGAACATATTTCTGAAGATGAACATTTTTATTTCATTTCAGAAAAATATTTTCCTTTTATCTCAATACTTTATTTTGTCTTTAAAACTTGGAGACATGGCCAACATACAAACTACAGCTTGAAACTACCCCCCCCCCCCCCCCCATTTGAAGAAAAGTAACTTACGAGGGAATGTTAAGTACTTTTTTTATGGTAACATGCATTCCAGCTTGGCATCCTGTCTTCCTTGTTTTGTACCTTTTGCCCCCAGTTCCAGAGTGCTGGCACAAGAACCATTTCTGTTTCAGTGAAGAAATTATGGTTACAATGTTAATGATTAAACAGCAACAAAAGTCTGAATATACACCAAAAAAAAGAAAGATTGGAACCAATTCAATTTAGGACATATATATATAGGTTGGGGTTTGGTTTTTTTATCCTGATGCATCTTAACTAAAAATGTTTAAAATATATGTAAAATCAAGGCTTCTCACTTTTACAGCAAAATAAAATCAATTTCACAAAACTAGTTTAACAGATTGTTTACTTTTTTTTTTTTCAGGAGATAGAGTACTGCAAAATATTCTTAGAATATAACTATGAAAATGAAAACTCATAAAACTTTATGTTCTGAATTACTACAAGCAACACCCACTCTTAGTTTTCATCAACACTATCTCCTATCCATCAACTCACCTATGAACATTCATGAGCAATGTAAAAAACATAGAAGAAATGGTATGTTCAAAAAAATCCCAAAGCTTGAAATTACAGCTGAAACCTGATATAACAGGGACAGTGAGACCAGAGAAAAAGTCATGTTATATCAGATCCCTGTTAAATCAGAAATACAAGAAAAGTAAGCATTTGTGGACTAATCCAGCTGTATTTATTCATGGGTAGTTTCCCATAGCCTGCGCACGACACATTACACGTGCGTGTAGCTCTCTAGGCTTAGGGCTAGATCGAGGTTTGCAGCACAATGCAGCCTTCTCTCGTGGCCATGTGGCAGGCCTGCGAATGACACATTACATGTTCGTGTAGCACGGCTTAGGGCTAGATCAAAATCTGCAGGATACCGCAGCCCTCTCTTGCTTCACCCGTTGCGTGTGCTTGCAGCGGTGTGGCTTGCGTGGGCTTGCTCCATCACTATGTTACTCTTTCTCTTAATTTTTACACATTGTTAACGAGCTCTGTCCTTGCTATAAGGGGTTGTTCAAATATAATCTTACACTTTTTTTTTGACTTTTTAACCCCCCCCCCCCCCCCCTTTCTTACACTTTTCTTACATTTGCCTTCCTTTTGATGAAAACGATATTCATCTATGCTGAATAGAAGTCGAAATATTTGCAATTGAAGGAGGTGTGGATCACCTGATTTCAGAGGTAAATTTAGTCAGAAAACGGCTGCCAAAGTTTGATTACTTCAATAGCTTGAGAGCCTTTAAAACTGAAAAATAACATATTTTGTGCATTTAATGAACGTTTTCCAGTAAAATTTGCATTGAAATGTGTTATTATATGGACGTAAAAGGTGTTAAGCGGAAAAACAAAAATTCAATAAAAGTTCCCAAACGTGCGGAAAAATGCCATTTTTTTTCACTTTCATTATATTGACGAGCGCCTGATTTCACCACGGTGCCTCACAAGAGTAAATCATTTAAGCAAAATATTGCATACACTCTTTCTTACTAATAAGGAAAAAATTGAGACTCCTGTCAATGACAAAAGGGCCTTAATTACAAATAAAACCAAGTTACAGTAGAATTCTGATAAAGTCAACACCCCGGACAGAAAAAAATGTTGACTTTGAGCAAGGTTGACTTTATCCATTGTACTTCTGGCCATTGAAAATTGAAGATGACTGCTACAAAATGACAAAGTACCTGGTAATAAGCAAGATGTAATCTCAATTTCAGGGAGTATAATTTTGAAGTTGTCACCAAAACAGGAGATAATGAAAGAACAAAGTAATTGGTGGTGTGTACACCAGTAGCTCGGGTGAAATATCTCTTCTTAAATTAATTCATTTTGGGATTTAGCCCCAAATTGTTGACTTTACGCAAGCTTAACACTCACGCGGTTGACAGTATCAGAAACACAATCAGATCTACTTAAAATTACTTGAACAAAAAGGTAAAAAATGAGACCACAGTGAGGTGTTGACTGAAAGCAAGAGTTGACTTAAAGTAAGCAAGTTGACTATCAGGATTCCACTGTATCTGTTATTACTGATCATTATGCTGAAAACAAATAGTGAAATTAGTTATCATCAATAAAGGCAGTGTTCTTCAGTATGTAAAAAATATTTTTTCACCTCACAAAAGTGTAAGACACCCCC